ATTTGAACTACTGTACCACACATATGCTCTATTGTTCCATATATATTAACTAGTGTTCCAATGACATGATATACCCATTATTCTCAAATATTATTTATATTGTTTCAAAAATATAAACTATTATGTTGCTCTATTGTTCTATTGTTCCATATTTATGAACTAGTGTTCCAATTACATGATAAGCCCATAGTTCTCGAATTTTAATTATGTTGTTCCAGAAATTTGAAATATTGTATCACACATATGGTCTATTGTTCCATAGACATGAAATAGTGTTCCAATTGGATGATATGCCCGTTATTGTCAATACAATTTATATTGTTCCAGAAATATGAATTATTGTCCCATAAATATTATATATTGTTCCATATATAAGAACTAGTGTTCCAATTACATGATATGCCCCTAGTTTTCGAATTTTAAATATGTAGTTCCAGAATTTTCAACTATTGTACCACATACAGATTTGCTCTTTTTTTGCACTACTTCGAAAATTCTACCAAAAAAATATCAAACAAACTTCAAAAATTCTGAAATTTTGTATGCTTATTCTACACAAAAAAATAAGCAGATTCAAAAAACGAATCGCTTCAAAAGGGTTTTTTATGAGAGAGAAATCTTCATTTGAAATCTGTCTTTCCAGATTTGCTCCTTTTTTGCACTACTTCGAAAATTCTACCCAAAAAAAATCAAACGAACTCCAAAAATTATGAAATTTTGTATGCTTATTCTAAAAAAAAATAATCAAATTAAAAAAAAAATCGCTTCAAAAGCTTTCTTTATGAGAGAGAAATCTTCATTTGAAATCTGCCTTCATTTCTCTCTCTTCAATGGCTAAATTAAAATGAAACCAGATTTTCCATTTTCTCTCTCTTCAATGGCTGAATCTCTTGGTTTTATAGTACATAAATCGGTGTTTCAATGCAGAAAATAAGGAAAAAAAATTAAAAAGCATGTACCAATGACTGAAATGCGTGTTCCCAAGAAAATGCATGGGAAAGTGATAATTAATCTCAGCCATCCATAATCTCAAAATTGATGGTGTAAGATTGGTTCTTATTTTAAGAGGGTTCTCGCCTAAGGGGTGGGTTGTCACATGATCCCATTTCTATATATATATATATAGGTGTATATATTTGTATATATATGTATATATATATATATATATATATATATATATATATGTGTGTGTGTGTGTGTGTGTATGTATATTTCAGTGCATCAAAGATGTCCGACTCTAGGATTTGATCCCAACCTTACTCTAGGACAGGCGGAAGGTGATCCTTCCTACCCAGAAGGTAAGGCTTCTGGTTCCATTTGTTGAACTCCCTATTTTCCTGCTGGTTGGGGGAGAAGATGAGGTAGAACTTGTTTCTCCAATCCCTCCACTTGGAATTTTTATCCAAGGTCATTAGGTAACCCTTATGGGTGGTAAGGGTGTACCAAGTGTTCCCGCCGCCTAGAGCTCGGCTCAGATAATGCATCTGAGCAAACGCCTCAAAGCCGAGCGAAATGTTCTGCATCTCGCAGGTGGCAACGTAACCCATGATGTTTACCCATGAGTTGGGGGTAAGTTGTCAAACGCTCAAGTTGTAGCCCCTCAAAATTTCCTTCACTGCATCGTGAAGGGGAAAGAGAAGGCTGGCATTAATAGCCGCCTCATATCAACCAAAATACCGGTCGAAGTTGGGCTGGGTGTCCTCCCAAACCACCGACCCGCCGCCTGCTGGAGGCATGCAGATGGTGTAGCCCTCACCTATGTGGTGAGTAAGTTGGTAAGCGGTAAGGTTGTCCTTCATCACATTGTACACTTTGTCCGTCATAGAAACCCAATATGGATCATACTTTCCGAACGTGGAGGCGACCTCTCCCTCTTCTTCATCCTCCTCTTGTGCCGTCTCCTCGGCACTGTCACCCCCGGCATCAAACGCTACCTGGTGTGAACCTTCTGAGCCCCTTTAGGACCCGTTCACCGAAGAACCGAACTCTTCTTCAGGCTCTTGTAAAATGGAATCACCCGGCGTACTTGGAGGGCCGGGTGGGTAATAGAGATCTCATTTCTCGACACTTCAATGGTGTCGTCTCCATCATCATCAATAGGGCCATGGGCTGTTCTTTTTGTCTGAGCCATAGTGTCCTGCACAAACGCAGTGAAGGTCGGATGCATAAGAAGAGGAGGAGTCCGAAAGAGGAGAGGCGACACCCCTAGTTCTATTTTTAGCCGTACCAGGTGGCCGGCTGACAAATGTCCTAGGTCATGCCGTGTGTGCTTGTGAAACATTCGAAAAAATGCAAAAAACAAGCGGCATAAATGAAACAAAAATAATAAAAGAAAGAGTAGAGTGAGAGAGACGGTTACCTTTGGAAGTTTGTGGAAAGTTTGTAAAAAGTGGCGACCGGCTGCTAGTAAACGACAATGACAAACGGCAAAGAGTCAAAATTCTCTCTCTAAAATATCTTAGCTTCTCTCTCTAGACTTTTACGAAAAAACAACAAAAATGAGGGGGGTAAAATCACTATTTATAGAGGGGTAATAGTGGGAGCATTCTTGTAATTGCAAAGGGAAGGTGAACGGTTAAAATAACCGTCACCCTCTGAACGCCTGGCAAGTGTCACAGGCGTCAAGTGGCCTGCCACGTCACCCTTGTGAGGGGCAAATGTTTAGGGTAAAAATACTCTAGACATGTGTCACCCTAGGTGGCACTCAAAATGAGCCACCCAAGATAAGACACGTGGCACAGTAATTATGAGGGAAAATGGCGGCCTTTATAGACCCAAATCCCAATGCGCCATAAAACGGCGCGGCCCAAACTCCTAGGTAAAAATTACCTAAGGAAGGGCACGTTCTCCCATGCCCTATAAATAGGGACATTTACTACCATTGGGAAGGAGAATCATTATTACAATCAAATCAGTCACTTTCAGACATCATTCACCTGTTCTAATAACAGTGAAATCATTTAGATCTCGAGATCCGAGAAGAGCTACTTTACTTTCCGCATATACTTCACTCTGTCCGGTACTAACTTGATCGTCGGAGGCGGAACTTCAAAAAATCGGCTCCAATTTAGGAGTTGTAACTTTACCACAGGACACATCAGGAAACCCCAAAACAATACAGTTAAAAATTTAGCTTAGCTTCAATTTTTCATCTCTATCTTTGTAATGTAGTTGCTCACTCTATAGCAAAGTCTCCCCTCTCTTTCCAACAGATGAAAGTGTGGATAGAAAGTGCAACCACAATGTCAGTCATATTATCCTTATAGACAAGGAAAACATTATTTAATAAAATTGATGAGAGTTGTTCGTCAAAAGTGTACGATCGTATAGTAAATACTTAATTGTTTTATATTTATGTTTTATAAATTGAAGTATCAACCAGCCTCCTGGATTTTAAAATTAAGGTGGAATTTTGTTTTATCAATATATTAGGTTGACTTTTGATCATTTTTAGTGTAGCTATATACCCGTCTTACAATATTTAATATACACTCGGATTTTCTGAAAGTTAAGTGGCGTTTGTAAGCATAGGCTTAGGGGGGCAAATAAGGTAAATGGCTTATTTGTGTTTGGGTACCAAAATGGTCCACCCATTTTGGGCCTTACAGAATTAGGCCTTAAAGGACTTGGGCCTAGGCAACATATGTGAACTCAAACACAACAAACTACCAACCCTAGCTAACTAACCAACATAAGGCCCTTAGCTTAAATTGCCCAATACCCTAAGGAGGTATGCCAGCCCAAAAATGTCCATAGAACACTTATCTTTATGTAAGCCCACAAGTGTTACATATAGATAACTATTCAAATTCCTCCAACAGGTTACTTAATTATATTGTTTTGCACTCCTAAGCTAATATTTAGTGGCATCTCACTCTTTGTCTATGTACTAACTTAAACATCAGAGGGGTTTCTTGGACACACCTCACTTTGAGGATATCTTATTACATGCTTATTTGTGAAGGTAATCCCACACTGTGACTTCCTTACCACATTAGAGGTGATCCTCATTTGTATTGATTGTTTTAAGGCCAAAATAATTTTATGTCGTTCCTGGGGAAGACACAAGCCAAACCACTTTAAGCGATTGAAGAAAATGATGGTATCTTACACCACTTCATCAGAATCCTCAAAGTTTGACTACTTCGTGAGCTCTCCCTTAGACCACTCTCAATGGTGAGCAAAAAAAATGTCCACCCACTATCTCTCTACCTACTTTCTCTCTTAACAAATCAGTTTTGCCCATGGGCAAATTTTTTTCACAATTTCTCTCCCAATGGTGAGCAAAAAAAATGCCCACCCACTACTCTCTCTCTCTTACTTTTTCAATACCCCACCATTACTTTCTCTCTCCTACACAACACTTCTTTATTTATTAATTTCATTTATATTTTAACAATATTACTCCAAATAAATAAAAACTAGTTTAAATTTGTGTAACTTATATTTTTTATTTTTGTATTTTTTATCGTTAAAATTTGTCGTTAAATTAAGTACGTTATATGAAATAATTGTAAAAAAAAAAGCTCAAAATTTCTTAAATGTTTTTATTTATTTTAAAAGCGGTACAATACTAGAAGCCAATTACATTTGCAACGTCATGCGTAATTAAACTTAGGAAATAAAAAAACACAACAATTAAAAAATAACTCGACTGCGTACGGAAAAGTAGGTAGGCCAGAGTACTTGGCCTAAAGTCGTGCTAATTTTTTCCTAATTACGTGGCCTGTATTGTAACCAAATATGTTCGACTAAATCACGTTTCAGAGATAGATGAATTTCTCTATCACGGAGGGAAGCTTTTCGGTGTAGAAATGCGTTAAAGTCAAAGTCGGTAGGTCGGCCTACATTGAATTCAAATGGTGGCGTTGTAGACATTGATGCTGGTGTTAATTCTTGTTGATCTTCTTCGTAGAAAAAGGCTCTTAGAACTTCGGCTCGAGTGTAGTTGTGGCGCTCATCTTCAACAATCATGTTGTGCATAATGATACATGCTTTCATTATGTCCCGCAATATGTCCTCATCGTACGCCTTTTTCGTATTATTGCAAATCGAGCTTGCAAAACACCGAAAGCTCTTTCAACGTCCTTTCGAGCAGCAGCCTGGTGGTCAGCGAACATTTTATCTTTTGCCAGTTGAGGGAATGTGATACCATGAACAAAAGTTGCCCACTTCGGATAAATGCCGTCGGCTAAGTAATAAGCCATGTTGTATTCATCGCCGTTAACTGTAAAATTTACCGGAGGAGCTCGACCATGCAGAACCTCATCAAACACTGGTGAACGGTACAACATATTAAGATCATTACAAGATCCGGGAATACCAAAGAAGGAATGCCATATCCATAAATCCTGATCCGCAACGACTTCCAGTATTAGCGTTGCTTTCTTATTCCTACCGGCGTACTGCGCTTTCCAAGCCGTTGGAAAGTTCTTCCATTCCCAATGCATGCAATCAATGCTGCCTATCATGCCTGGAAAACCACGCAGTTCATTTTGATGCAGTATCCGGGCCAATTCATCAGTTGTAGGGTTTCGCAGGTACTCGGTTCCAAACTGATCAATGACCCCGGCACAAAAACGTTGAAGGGAAACTCGAGCGGTTGACTGACTGATTCGAACGTATTCATCCATGGCGTCTGCAGCGATGCCGTAGGCTAACATTCTTATCGCGGCTGTACATTTTTGTAGAGGTGATAAGCCTAACCTTCCAGTTGCATCCCTACGCTGCTAGAAGTAAACATCACCTTCAACGACCTTGTTCATTATACGTAAAAACAAAGCTCGTTGCATACGAAATCTTCTTCTAAGTTGGGTGGTGTTGTACACAGGATTATCGAAAAAATAATCATTAAACAGCCTGGCATGTCCCATTTCCCTATCTCTTCTATTTGTACCCCCTCTACGTGTTTTTGAAGTACGTTGGGATTGTGTTTGGGGCATGAGGAAAGATGGGGGTTGGTATGTGAAGAGTTCATCAACGAGTTGATCATATTCTTCAGTATTTGAAGAAGATGAACTTGAACTTGAACTTGATGATGCTCTGGAATACATCATGTATTAATAGTGTGATTTTATGAATTGGTGTGGTTGTGGATATGTGCCATGCCTACTATATATAGCAAATATATCAAATGAATATGTGGTTACAAATCTGAATGACCACACCAACTAAAGCAATCAAATTTTCAGCCACGGAATAGGTATACTATGCTGGTTAACAATGACAAATCTTGACAAAGTGAATTCAGAAAAATGTGACTACACCATGACAAAGACTTATTGCAATTATGTCGGTATCAGTGACCCAAAGTTAAAGCATAATGACAAAGTTAATTCAGAAAAATGTGACTACACAATGAAAAAAATGTGACTACTAAATGACAAAGAGTTATTGCAATTATGTTGGTATGAATGACCCAAAGTTAAAGTGAAATCAGAAAAAAAAAAAAAAAGTGACTACCCAATGACAACAATTGAATGAAATTATGTCGGTAACAATGACAACTGAAATCAACTTGTTAAACAACTTGTCATTCAATATTGGAAAATCAGAATACAAGATTACATATGATAGTGAAATTAAACACACCACTAATACAAGTTAAACATAAAAGACTACATTGCGCATAATTAAAAACTTAACTAATACAAGCGTACACCTACTACAACAAAACATGCTTAAAAGCCCTGTAATTTACCGAGTAAAAAATTCTTGTACGACTCTTCTTCAGAAGTGGTGGCGTAGGAGAATTCTTTAGAGTTTGCAGCATATCAAACATGGTTCTCATCTTATGATTGTCAAGTTCCTCTCGTTTCCTCTGTTCCTTATCCTTTTCAATTTTGATCCTTTCTTCCTTCAGAATGGCCTCCCTTTCGCGAATTGTAGCAAATTCCTTCATTCGTTCGCTAAGCTCAGACGAACCACTTTCTGAAGCTACTTCTTTCCCTTTACGCTTGGCCTTTGCTTTCTTCACACCTTCGGGTCGTTGTATTCCTCTAGATGAAAAACCATCCGTAAGGGTTTCATCCCCTCCATCATCTCTGGACCTCTTCCCACTTCTAGCACTACCTTGCTCCTCAACATCACAAGCAGCTTTTCTTTCCTCCTTTGACAAGGACCATCTCAACTTTGGCCTCCACTTTGGATCTTTATTAAGCATTTCAACCGCGTGAGGAAAAGCGAAATTGCGACCTTGGGCGAGATGAAAAAGCTTCGACCCACTTTTTATACGGTCAGCTTCGTTGTAACCACTCCCTCCCTTCGGAAGTCTACCCGCTTCATCATAGCAAGATATCCACTGTAGTGTGTCTGCTGCCAATCTTCTCCAGTGCGACGTCAGACTCTTCATAGGTCTTGGCGGAGGTATATGCGGCTTCTCCGCATGAGCCATTTGATATGCTGCGTGTACATCGCGCCAAAGGGAAATTGCTTTTTGGCTCGTACCTTTAATAGCATTCTTGCTGATCTCCAAGTACAACCCAATCAGAGTTTCATCTTCCGCAACAGACCAAATTCAAGTCGCTCGTGCAGCAACCTGGTTGGATTTCAGTTTGGGAACTGGTGGAGGATACTGCGGCGTCTCTAGTACGCTGTCCTCTTCGCTCTCATCGAATTGTGTGTTGCTATCATGATCAGTTTCAGGTGTACATTCTTCATTAACATGGTTTCGTAGGGGAAACTGAGTGGGTGTCTGATACTGTGGAGATGGTTGCAAAGACGTATTGCCCATTCTTTGCAAGAACAATTGAAACTCGGGATTAGTTAGGAAATCATCACTAAAACCAGAAAATTGTTGACGGAAACTTGGTTTGTTTGGATCCATTAAAAGATTCTGCATCACAAAACATAAAAAAAATATTTGTAAAAAAATTAATTTAAACAACAAATCAAAAAAAATAATCTAATACCACTTTTTTTTTTTTTTCTTTGAAAACAACTGCGGAGTATCATTAAAGGAGGTCAATTTCCACCAGAGTTAAGAGACTTTGGGGAAACGGACCTAAATAAACAAGTTCAATACAATCTCTAGTACTCCATCTAGCTACATGGTGCGCTAGAGTATTCCCCGCACGTTTAACATGAGACATAGAGAAAGCAATAAAAGATTGAGAAAGAGCATACACATCATCAACAATTAAAGAAAAGGGGGTGTAGTTTACAGCATTCTTCTTAACCCCTTGCACAACCATGGATGCATCACCTTCCAGCACAACAGCAGAATAACCAAGTCGTCTTGCCAACTGAAGTCCATAATGACACGCAGCTACCTCTGCAATTTCTGATGTCCACCCAGCAGCACCCTGCTTCACAGCAGCAGCCAGCACCTTTCCCTCCTCATTTCTGATTACAGCCCCTAGGCCAATGTCCCTCCCTACATGAGCATCACAATTTATCTTCACCAGACCCACATCAGGCCGAGCCCAAGCATTTGCAGCAGGAAGTCCATGCACTCCTTGATTCATGAATACCTTCTTTGCATAGTCTACATACTCATGTACATATTTGGCTAAGTTCGACGCTACACTGATGGGGCATGGGAATTCATGCTCAAAGATAGCTTTGTTTCGACACCACCAAGCAGCCCAAGTTAATGTTGCTATCGAACTCAATTCTTCATTTGTGGTCTTCGAAGCTAACCATAGGAATCTGTCACTAAAACAGGCAGAAGGAGCTTGAGCAACCAACTAATTGAGACTGCTAGCTGCCCACATGACTTTTGCGGCCTTACATCCAAAGGTGGCATGAATCACCGACTCATCACCCTCACCACAAATTGTACAGCATTTTTCGACAAGCAAGTGACGGTTATATAACCTTTCACGCACAGCCAGGAAGCCTTTGCAAGCCCTCCACAGGAAATGAGCTAATTTCGGAGGGACCTTCAATCTCCAAATGATTCGCCATATTTCATCTTGTGGGTGTCTTTGGATTGTAGTAGGACCTTGTTTTGCCATCCAATAACCCGATTTCACAGAAAATTCTCCACCTCTAGAAGGCCACCAGTACATCCGATCTTTCACACTCCGAAATGATAAAGGGATTGACAATATTTGAGTTTTCTCAGTAGCATTAAAGTTATTGCAAATTACCTCCTCTCGCCACGACATCGATTCATGATCAATCAAGTCACAGACTCGCAAACTCATATCACTTCTATCCAATGGGGAAGGTACACATATCAAAGAGTTCCCTAGCAGCCACGCACACTCCCATACCGGGATATCAGTTCCATTTCCCACTCTCCATTTCAACCCCTCAAGAAGCAAAGATTTAGCACCCCATATGCTTCTCCACGTATAACTCGGATCATAACCCCGATAGGCTTCAAGCACATCACAATGTTTAAAATATTTTGCTTTTAAAATAGAATGCACAAGGGAACCTTGGTTATGGTGAAGTCGCCAAATCTGTTTTGCCAGGAGAGCTTGATTGAAGCAACGGAGATCACGAAAGCCTAGACCACCCATACTCTTTGGTTTACACAAGTCATCCCATTTCTGCCAATGTAACTTTCTTGTCGCTCCCGTAGTCCCCCACCAGAATCGAGCCAAAAGAGAGTGGATCTCCTCAATAATTCCATCGGGTATCCTTAGAATTCCCATCATGTAAGTCGGGATAGCCTGAGCTACCGCTTTGATCAGAATTTCTTTCCCGGGCCTCGATAGTAATTTCTCCTTCCAACCCTGAAGTTTCTTCAAAAGCCGCTCTTTAAGCCCTGCAAAGATAGTTCTCTTTGATCTACCAATTATTGTCGGCAAACCCAGATATTTTTCATGTCTGTTAACTTCCCGAACCCCAAGAGTATTCACAATTTCTGCCCGACGAGTAGAACATACTTTTTTGCTAAAGGTCACCTCAGTTTTATCAAAATTAATTTTCTGGCCCGAAGCTCTTTCATATTTGCTAATTATATTAGCTATCACTGAGCACTCTATAGTGTTGGCTCTAGCAAAAAGGATATTATCATCGGCAAAAAATAGATGTGAAACACGGGGGGCACCACGACAAATTTTAGCTCCATGGATCATACCATCTCTCGCAGCCTTGTTTAGCAAAGTAGAAAAAGCATCAGCACAAATTAAAAAGAGGTACGGAGATATTGGGTCACCTTGTCGAAGCCCTCTCGTAGGAATGACCGACCCTGAAATTTGCCCATTTATTTTAAAAGCGAATTGGACACTCTGAAGGCAATTCATAATTCTTCCGATCCAAGCTCCTGAGAACCCCATTTTATCCATCACCTTCTCCAAAAACACCCATTCCACCCTATCGTAAGCCTTACTCATATCAAGCTTTAGAGCAAAACTTCCATCCTTCCCTTCCCCACCCCTCTTCATCGCATGGAAAATTTCAAAAGCCACAAGTGCATTATCTGAGATAAGTCGACCTGGAATAAAAGCACTCTGGTTAACAGAGATCACCTTGTCTAACACCACCTTCAATTTATTTGCCACTGTTTTTTAAACAATTTTATAAATCACGTTACAGCAGCTAATGGGTCGGAAATCAGAAATTTGATTCGGAGCCTCACACTTCGGAATTAGGACAATGCAAGTATTGTTCACCTCCGATAGACTCACATCCCCTCTCCACCAACTCTTCACAAAATTAATTATATCAGGACCAACAATGTGCCAGAATTTTTGAAAAAAGAGGGCATGCATACCATCAGGGCCGGGAGCTTTATTGGGGTGCATCTGGAATAAAGCATTTTTGATATCATCTGCAGTTGGTTCACTATCCAGCATCTCGTTCATCTCATCGAACACCATTTCCTCAATCCCCTCCAACGCATCATGAAACCCCATTGGCGAGCTCGTAGCAAAGAGATTTGTGAAATATGCTTCTATCAGTCTTTCAAGATCCACACGTTGCTCAAACCACATCCCATTATCATCCTGTAGCTTCATAATTCTATTCTGGGCCTTTCTTTGACTAGCTTTGTGATGAAAATATTTTGTGTTTTTATCACCGTCACACAGTTCATTTGCTCTAGCTCTCGCATGCCAGTACGATTCCTCTAATCTATATAAAGATTCAAGCTCCGCCGCAAGAGAATTACACAACTCTAAGTTCGACCCATCCATCACACCCCCTTTTAACTCCCTCATTCTTTTTTCCCCTTTCTTTATCCTCTTCCTTACTGAACCAAAGGTCAAAGCAGCCCATGAAGCTAACTTCTCACTGCATATAGCCACTCTGTTTGCCATATTAAGCCCCGTACTTTCACTCCAACCCTGTGCTACCACCTCACTGCATTCATCTCTTGACAACCAGAGAGCTTCAAATTTATAACCCGTACTCCCACAATTTTCGGCAACTGTTCTATCCGTAGATAAAATAATAGGAGCATGATCCGACTGAGACTTCAAAATGGGCAAATTACTGACTATAAAATTCGGGAAAAGTGTACACCAATCATCAGTTGCAATAAATCTGTCAAGTCTTTCCCTCACAAAAGTATCCATGGTGTTACCCCTTTCCCACGTGAAAATGTTGCCCGTGTACCCCAAATCACGCATAGTACAAGTATCCATAGCCTCACGAAAAGCATCCATGAGTCTTTCACTCCTTTGGGAGCCACCTTCCTTTTCACTCGGACTCAAAATCTTGTTAAAATCACCAAACATGAGACATGGTAAGCTACATTCACCTTTCAAAGAAGACATGAGGGACCAAGTCAAGTGTTTATTTGATTGTTCCGGCCACCCATAAATCCCAATAGCCCTCCATACCGCAACATTATTATCATTAAGAATATCAATAGAATAGTGATGTAAAGAGTACGAGATCACATTCACCTTAATATCCTTCCACCATATACCCATACCCCCCGATCTCCCATTACTGCTAATACAAACACCATCAATATAACCACATTTATTTTTAATTTTATTAAGACGATTTGCATCAATCATAGACTCCATTACAAAGACAACATTTGGCCTATCCCTCCAACACATGTCGCGGAGAGTCCTAACTGTCCACGGGTTGCCAATCCTGTGACAGTTCCAACTTAGAATTTTCATTGTTTTTCGGGAGTTTGGGTATCCCCAACACTCCCTACTTTAATTACAGCCTCAACATTATTTTCAGAAAACACACTACATTTCATTCTTTTTTCATGGCAATTTACCTCTGCTCCCTGGTAGGCCATCTCAGTAGCATCTAATCTTCTCTTCTTCGACTCTATAGCATGCACTTGCCCTTCAGACACCTCCATATCAACAGCCTGGACAACAACATTATCAACCACATCGTGTAGAATAGCATCATCACTTGAGGACTCTTTGAACATCTGACCCGTGTCCTTTCCCGGTACATAATCATACGCACCCTGAATAGCTATAGGCCTCAAAACCATCTTTCCATTACCATCACCATCCACAGCTTTCAGAGATATTGATCTCGGCATAGGGGAATTAGTACCTGATGCCATAGGGGTAGAAAATAGCAATTTCCTGGCAGCACTAGGTGGTCCAAGCCGAATGGCCTTAGGGTCATTATAATCCGATCGTTGCACTCTGCCCTTCGTATTCATTCTCTCCATCCATCTTTTTTCCTTTTCTCTTTCAGCCTCAGGGACTTTCGAACGATGAGGGGAAGCTGTCAAGAATGGGCCATATTGGAATACAATAGGTGACTCCCCATCGCAGTTATCTTTCTCCTCGCAGTCCTTGTCTGTGTGGCCAATTCGACCACAATAATAACAAAAATCTCCAAGCCTCTCATACTTAAAACCAATCCATTTGGTACAACCAGATTCGACAGCAATTTTCATACCTCTCCTAAGAGGTTTATTGATATCCACGACCACCTTAACCCTCATGTACTCCTCCCAACAAAGAGGATCTGACTCATCAACCTCAACACACTCCCCAATACAATCCCCAATGTCACGAGCCACCTTAGGCGAACGCATGCCAAAAGGCATATCAATGAGTCTAATCCAGAAAGGGCATGAAAAAAACGCAACATCCGAGGGTTGTTCTTCGGCACATATTTCCTTCAGAAGCAGAATTTGATTATCAAACACCCAAGGCCTACCCTCCAACACCTTACGTCTATCATCGATATTAAAGAATTGGAACACAAATATATTCGTGTTCACACTTCGGATCGCTACATTATCATCAATTCGCCATAAATTTTTTAACACCCTTTTCATAGCTTCAGCATTAAAGGGTTTCTGAGTGAGTAACTTCCCCACCAGAGACAGGGCAATCTTAGTATTCGATCCCTCCTCTGTCGAGGCTGCACTCGATTGTCCAAAGACAAAATTCTCATCGTCATTTAACTTCAAGCGCTCCCATTCTTTCATTAAACAGTCCTCCATGATCAGCAAACACGGAAAAGCCTTGTAGATACCGAATTGTGGAAAAACACAGCAACAATTTGTGGAAATTGATTGGATAAAAAACTTCCTGAACAGAACCCTAGGCTAGAGAGCGAAAACTGTAACCCTACGCGAGGGACTTGGATTTATTAAATATACAACTTTCACATTCAACAACATATAAACAAAACATATAATACATAATATAATGTAACGAAATTAACTATACAACTTTATTAAATATACAACTTTCACAGTCAACAACAACTTTCTAAATTAAATTAAATATATACAAAACAACAACTTAAATTAATTTCAAATTTATGAATGGATGGACAAAATAACAACTTTCTAAATTCAATTATATATATAATTGCTAGTACATTACATGAACTACATTTTTGGATCTGCCAAAAAATCACATATACAACTTTCACATTTATTAAATATACAACTTTCACATTCAATAACATATAAAAAAAATATATAATACATAATTTAATGTAACGAAATTAAGTACCTACACAAAAATAACATATACAATATATTTTATCATAACTAATTACTTCACATATACAAAACAACAACCCAAATTTCAAAAAAATTACCAAATAATTTCAAATTAATTAACTACAAATTTATTAACGTATGGACAAAATATCAACAACTTTCTTCAATTATATATATAATTACAATTACATTACATGACCTACATTTTTCTAGTTGCAAAAAAATCATGTATATACTAATTTTAATAAATAACTGAATTTATATATATTAAAAAAATAATAATAATAAAAAAACATATTTACCTGAATATGGGTGAAATACAACAAAATCTTCTTTTAAAATTGCAAAATATTTAGAAAAATAAAGAATATAGAGGATTTATGGATTTTTTGAAATTATACCAAAATATATCAAAATGCATGTCTATTTATAGAGAAAAAAAAAAATATGACCGTTGGTAAATTTTTTTTTTTTTTTATTCAATATTTTTTTCATAAATTGAATTACAAAAAAACTAACCGTTGCAACAGCTATATTTTTCCTATTGGTCAAGAGCCTGCAAACGCCACATGTCGAGGCGCCATTCGCTGCTTCCCTGTACGCGTCAGTCCACTTGTTATATTTTTTTAAAAATTTTTGCACAGCAAAACGCAGCGTTTTGGTGCGTTGTTGTTCTTGCTGCTTTCCAAAACTCAGCGTTTTGGCATAATGTGTCCGAAATTTTTTTGGCTTGGTCAACTTCTTCGTGGGCCCCACATACTTACTATTCATCCTCTTTTTTGCTCATCTCATGGGCAAAATAACAAATGCCCATGGGCATTTTCACTTTTGCTCGCCATTGCAAGATTACTTCTACCAAAATGCCCACAAAAAATGCCCATGAGCATTTCATTTTGCCCACCATTGCAAGTGCTCTTAAGATTTTGTCTAAGTTTGTTATAGTTTGGTGATGATGACTAAAATGTGGTGCTAGCTAATTCAATTTTTCTAAATATTGTTTGAGCCGACACCGTGAGTCCGAAAAATTGAATCTACTAATACCACAAACAAGAACTTTGACATCCCATTTCCATCACAATTCACCGCCACCTTCTACTCCATACCCTTACCTTTGCCAACAAATAACCACCACTCGAGAGCTCATCGGAAAAACTTTTAGTGCTCTAGATCGCCTAGATTCAAGCAAGAAAGGAAATTTTAGGGGAGTAGAGGAGAGAGAAAAGCTTAGAGGGGACATATCCTATTGTAGAATGTTCCTATTTGTGGCACTAGTTGATTCAATTTTTCTAAGTATAGTTTGAGTCGACACCGTGAGTTCGACTCACACAATACTTTTCCTTTTATTTTTCATTGTTAAATGTACGTAGATATATACACTTTTCAAAAAATAAAATTAAAAAAAAAAGAATTCAATTTTCTTTTTCCATTATCTAATTATATTTGTCATTCGTCCTCAATCTTCTATCAAACTCATTCTTTTTACTTTTTTTTTTTAAAAAAAAAATTTCTTTTTCTCTCTTTGCCTTAATCCATTGATAAAAAAAAAAGAAAAAAAAAAAATATATATATATATATATATATATATATATATATATATATATATATATATATATATATTAAAAAAATGACATTGAAAATCATCATCATTTAATATCACTGTTAGTTAGGGAACCAAGCAAAACTATTTGCTTTCACCTTACTTTTATTCGCGAATTGAATTAATAATATACAGAGTATTTATATTCAGCTCATATAATTTTGGAAAAATACACTTTAATAATCCCAACTTTGCCCGATTTACTTTAATTAATCCCAACTTTTGATTATTCTGCAATAATCCCAACTTTCAACTCCGTTTTCCTCCAACAATCCCAAACCGGTCAACAAAAGTCAACAATATATTATTGTAGGTTACATGACACGTGTCGAGATGTGAGTGGTTCAAAATTAAAAAAAAAAAAGAAAAATAAAATAAATTAAAAAGAAAAGGAGAAAAAGAAAAAATAAAATCCCAAACCACACCTGCCACCAGCCACCAACGGTGGCCTTCTCCCTTGCCTACCCCAGAACCAACCAACCACCAGCCACCAGTCATCTATTTTCGCCGCCGAACCACCTCTAACACCGGAAATCGGCTCCCCCACCCTAAACCCACCTCGAAAACCGCATCACCCTTCACAAAGCCGCCAAAGTACCGTTCCCCTCCTCAACGCAACCCCCTTAAATGGAGCTCCTCCCTTCCCACACCGCGGAAACCGGCGCCCCCTCCCTTCGCACACCACTGAAACCGCCCCCCCCCCCTCCTTTCCCTCAACCCAGAAATCGACCTCTTCCCTTCCCACCTTCGAAAACGGTCCCAAGCTCCCGACGACTAAGGTTTCGGGGCTAGGTTGGGGTGGGGGAAGCAAGGGAGGTGTCAGAAATTGGTGATTGGCGCCGGAAATTGGGAATCAGGGTTGGAAATAGGGCTGGGCACGAGAGGCGTGGCCACCGGCGGTGGTTCATGGCTGGCTGGGCATTGATTTTATTTTATTTTTATTTTTTAAAATTTCTTTTATTAAAAAAAAAACTTATTTATTCCTTGCACAAAAAAAAAAAAAAAAAACTAAGTAATTTTTTTTAACCAATAAACAAGCAACACGTGGCAATTATATATTTAACAAAAAATTTAACCTTTTCTCCAGGTTACCGGTAAATGGGATTGAAAAAAAAAAAACACAGGTAAAATAATCGAAAATTGGGATTATTTAAAGTAAATTGAGCAAAGTTAGGATTATTAAAGTGTATTTTTCCTATAATTTTAAACTTTAACTTATATAGTGTATTTGCCTAAGATATTAAGTTTGTAAGAAATCAAGATCCTAGAGGCGGTCTAAAAGGGGAATGAGATATATCTAAATTGTATTATTTAAAGAAGTGGAATGAGACAATTAACCAAAATGGCCTAATTAAGGAATAAATGCATATCACTACTGCAATCAATGCAAGTTTTTTAAAAGCAAAGACTGCTTTTATTTTCAATAAATTAAATCTAATTGAAAAGAAAGCATTATTATATCTAAAACTTTTGTGTGCATCCGATTTACTATAACATTAATGTATATGAGTACATCTTATATTTTTAGGTAACTTTTTTGCCAATTTGGAAGAACTTTTAACCTTCTTTGTTTAATTATAAACATGATATGATTTTAATGTAAATAGACAATGAAATAAGTTTATAAGTATTATAATTACCCCTTTTACACACTTAAGAATTGATTTTTACTCATCTAAAAAGAGTAAGTTTATCAATAAAAGTTTTTATTTATGTTGGGCAACCTTTATTTATTTTGGTGTGACTCTTAAATCATTGTAGCTCAACTTTACAACGATGTACAATATTTATTTTATACCAAATTAAGTTGTATCCCTACCTTTTAAAAAGTATGAGAAAACACTTATGAATAGTGTGAGGACAACAATTATATCCTTAAACATTTTTGTTTTCCTATATGTCCACTTTTTTTTTTTAGGAAAACCAATATGCCCTTATTAATATGATGTTAATTGCCTCTAAGCTTTTCCTTTTGTGATTTAATGATTTAACTCTTATGAATATTATTTGGACAATTATTATATCCTCTAAAATATTTATTTACTTATTTTTTCTCATTATCGTTAATTGTCTTTTTTTTATTAAAAAAAAAATTTCTTAAGAATAGCTTTGCAGACATTTTATCCCTAAAAAAATTTGTTTACATATTTTCTTTCATTATGTTGTCAACCAACAAAGCTTTTCAGAAATGGCTAGATATAGCGCGCATCGCACGCGTTAGCCACCCTAGTTATCATATATATATATAGAATTAACATAATAATAATTTCCACCATTTTCATTGTACATGTAATAACTATGATTAACTATTCATATATATTATAATTGATAGCAAAAATTTTAATAAATGGCATATGCTCGACTTCGCAGCACTAAGTCATAAGAGAAAGCAAAAGTTATCTGAAAAGAAGTATAACTAAATTCCTTAATTAATTAATATAGCTTAATAATTGTACAACTTAAAGATCTGAGATGATTGAATTTATAGTCAATTAATTTTAAGGCTTTAAAGGAACAATGCATGCATTTAGTGGGATCTTACTTTATATTCTGGACAAAAAAATATTTGTGCCAATAATATTTTAAGACTATCAGCAGCTGTAGCCTATGATCATCTAGATTCTTTTAAGGTTCTAATTTTAAAGTTGTGATTTGACAAGATTCCCACTTTCTTCACCATCAAGGACCCAATTAACCTAATCAACCCTATTTTATCTTTTTATTTTTATTTTTATTTTTATATTTTTAGTGATATATGCAATTATGCCCGTCATATGCACTAGTTCTATATTTTTTTTAAAAAAAAAAAAAAAAAAAAGTAACTAATCATATATCATAGTATAAAAATAAATAAGTGTATAAATAATTAATTGAAAGAGTACATGCAAGCTCTGGTTATACTTGTGATGAATGCTTATTTTTAATTAAGTGGGTGATTATGGTATCTTATGGATAATAAAAGTAATGTATTATTGGGTTGTGATGAAATATAGGAAACGTGAGTACAAATATATCTCAAGTACATGCCCTTATGGCTTGTAAATCTTATGTGTTAAATTCATATATATAAATACGTTAGCAGAGTGATCAAATATGTAAGAAATTTTTAAAGATTTAAATCACTATCTATCCGCAATGTATTTATTGTAGATGTCTAGATGACTTGATCGAGGAAATCCTTAATTAAGGAAAATTGTATATACATTTGTAATCACATAAAGACATGGACGAAATAACATAAAATGTTTGTATTCTGATAATAACATAACATATCCGATTTACACCATTATTGTTATTTATTACTGGCTAGTGAACTAATATTAAAGTTTTGCGACCATGTACACGACTTAAGTGTTTTATAAACCTTTTGCGCTTCTTTTTGACAAAAACAAAGACAAACAAGTACGTGGAGTGTGAAAAAAGAACCCCATGCTTCCAATGTGCACCGGCGGCTTTTGTATGAGATAGTGGATAGCTGATTCCATGGCCTACACAAAACCTTATCAACTGCTAATTGGTATGAATGACTAAAGATGCCAATCTTATTGGAAGAGCCTCGCTCCTGCCTTTGCCACCTCTAAGATAATGAATTAGAACTACTTATTTACATTTTTATAATTCATTCTTTATATATTCTTTTGCAATCTAGTGAAGAGACCAAACTCCTTTTCTATGTTGATGAAGATAACTTATTTCTAGGGTGCAATTTTTTAGAACACTTATAGAGTATAGTTTTTTTTTTTTTTTTTTTTTTTTTTTTTTTTTTTTTTTTTTTTTACAAGAAGAGCTAATAAACAAACAACAAAATAGGACTAAACTACACACTAAGACTAAATTAAAAGGACCGATAAGAAAACGTCGAGGACCCAACTGCGTGGGACCTAATGGATACGACACGCAGAGAAAGATAAAAGGGTTGATCTAATATTGACAACCTGACAACCTATAGAGACTGTAGAGACTGAGGACCTTCTCCGGAGTACTGACAACCTGCCTTGAAACGAGCCTGATTATGAGAGAGCCAATGCAAATAGCCCATAATAAAAAAAAAAAGAAAGAAAGGTGGTCAAGCCGTTCAAGTTCTTCGCTAGTTCGCCATAGTAAAAGCAATCAAATTAAAGAACCACTCATGAAAGGGTTTAGCGTCCAAGAGATCCCCATGGAAGCCTAGCTAACGGACCACAAACCAGAAGACAACGGATGAAAGGACAACCATGAAACAAATGGGAAGCCATTTCTTCTTCCCGACTCCTCGAGAGAAAAAAAAAATACATAAGGATCCACCGGTAAACCTCTGGAATGCAAGATCGGCGTTAGAGGCAAAACATTTTGTAGATATATCAAAGCATGACAACTAGCGCACGAACAATGCATAAGCTGACTATGTAGAGAATGAACCATCCCTAAAAATATCATTGGTTATTTTAATATATAATCAATGATCTAGGTCTTGGTCTAGCAATTAAGATATGATAGCTTACAGATTTACTTCCTCCTATCGCTTTTGGAATTTGTATTGTATGTCCGATCCTTATGGCTCATTCGACCCAAAAAAATTGTAATATATACAAAGTATTAATCAAAATTAAGAATAGTAAACTTAAAAGCCGTTAAAAAATGACTCGATCTGTTTATAATCTATTAAATATTACTAAAATAGGAAATTGCTGACATCATTATCTCCCCAAATTGATATATATATATAATATATAATCTATTATATATATATCAATTTTACAAACATCTTTCATTTTAAATGACAAATGCACGAAGGTCACAACAAATATGCATAATTTAAAATAGTTTGTAAACTTGATTTGACAACTCTTATTGAAATTTTTGCATACCTAACTTAGAGTTTCAAGCTATATTGGTTTGCCAAAAAGCTATCAATATGCCTTAAGTAAAATATTTTTTTATTAGTACTTGTGAATAATTTTTAGTTGTCTCACAATTATCGTACAAATTGTGACTCAACACTTTATAATGATTGATATTTATAAGATCAATAAATTAAAATTTGTATTCCATTTGATATATTATGATCAACCAATAGAATTTGGTGGCTAGAAGGTTATAAGCAAATTGTAGGACAAAGGTAATTTATTTTTCTATGGATTCACTACAATCTTATTATACTTATTCATACAATTGTAAGATTGACATTATTAGTAAAATTAAATTGTTTCTACTAGATCAATTTAAACCGACATATTTCATTTTAGATTAACAAACGCAAATAAGGTCACGATAAATATCCAAACTCATCGTACGTACTTATGACAACATACGCCACAACACTCATGACATCGCCAGGCTAAGCACTTGTGAGCTTGGAACATGCCATTAGATGTAATATCTCACCTTCAATTGGCTTTAATTTGATGAATAACCCCACAACCACCCCCCCCCTCTCTCTCTTTATCCGTACAAGTGTCGTCAATTTTGACAAAGAATAATAACCTTGAAAGACTGTCTAACATTCGCAAACCCACTGAATAATCAACTATATATGTCATTCCAAAGCATCAGAATAATTTAATTTTAAGCCATATTTAGCCACCTTGGAATAGCACTATAAAAGTGATACTAAATTTTAATAAATAAATTCTCAAAAAAAAAAATTAAAAAAAAGTAAATAAAAATGGGGGCAGTCCAACATAAAAAGTTAGGGTAAAAAAATAATAAAACTATCGTCCTATAATTATTTGTAAAAACGATTTTAATAAAAAAGTTGTACTTGTATATATAAGAGGTCTCAATAGCTAAGAATGAAGAAACAAACGCTTCATTTCAGAAGCAAAAACACACAAATTTTCAAGCGGCAACTCCGAAGCTAGTTCAAACTAGTGGGGGGTTGTTTGCTATTAAGCATTCAATCACAAAAAATTTAATTTACAAAAAATATTTCATTGATCGATAAATAATTTGTTGGTTAATAATTTCTGAAGAACAACGAAAGAAAACAGAAACTTGGAGATCAAAGATTGATAGAATGGCGCGAGGAAAGGTGCAGCTGAAGCGGATAGTGAACCCGGTGCATAGGCAAGTGACGTTCTGCAAGAGGCGAGCAGGGTTGCTGAAGAAGGCTAAGGAGTTATCTGTTCTTTGTGATGCTGATATTGGGGTTATTGTTTTTTCACCTCAAGGCAAACTCTATGAACTTGCTACTAAAGGGTACGTACCTATACATTTTACGTGTAACATATTTATTTAATTTTTTTGCTCGGGCGATATCACAGGTCATTGTGCATATTTTTTAAAAATAAAATTTATAAATAAATTAGGTCATATAAACATAGAGATTAATTTCCTTTATCTTGAGGTTGATGATTTTATAAACAATGTCGGTTAAATTTACTTTTTGCAAAACATCAAAATTCATCATTTATTATTTAGTACTCCCTCTGGTTTTAAATACTTGCTCCACTTTTTATTTTTAAACGTTTAGAAATACTTGCTCCATTTTCTTATTTGGAAAGTTTTTGCAATATTTAATTCATTTTTCTCAACTAGTGGACCCAACATAAATTAATTTTATTAATTTGATATTCTCTCTCCTCCAATTCTCTCAATTATTTTGCTTTTTACAATTTTTTTTATTCTTCCACTTATCCCACTACCTCCATATTTTTTTACTTTCTCCAATTTCTCCTAAAATTTCACATATGAAGAAATAGAGTAAGTATTAAAAACTGATGGAGTATTTTTAAATTTAGTAGTCCGTATTGTTACAAGGGCTTAAATTGTCAAAAATTGGAATGTTAGATTTTTAGTTATAAGAACTTCTTTGAAAGCTAATACATTTTGTGGCAAACACAAAAAAGTACGAAAAGACGTTAGCTTAAAAATTGCAATACGTTTTTAAGTTACATATTTATAATTTACTTTCTCCATCCCTTTATTTTTGCCCTATTGCCTTTTTTAGAGTCAAACTTTGAAAATTTTGACCATAAATTACCGTTAATCTATAAAAGATAATTTAGTCATGAATGGTCTTGTTAGATTCATCTCATTGTATATTTTTACTAATATTAAGTTTTTATAATTTTACGTGTATGAAAATAAAGATATAGACGTTTTAATATGTATCTTGAAAACCGTGCACAGTCAAATAAAGCAAAAAAAAAAGAGACAGAGGGAGTAGGTGTGAGCAAATGAATGGAAAGATATGAGATTTATAATTTTAAACTGTAAAAATATAGATATATTAGTTGAAAATTAATTTTTATAAATTATAACTATGATTAACTCTTTTTAATTTAACTTTATTGACATATGATGCGTCATTTGAGTTCAACTTTATTAAACATCTGTGGTCTTCAACTTTATTAAACACCTGTGGTCATGGGTTCAATTAAGTAGAATATTGAAGTTTATGATGAGTTTACTATCTCTAATTAAGAGTTAATGACCTACAAAATATATATATATCGGTTATTGCAACATAGATATTTGCTTTAACATTTGTTTGTTTCATACTTTCTTCTTATTTTAACTTATTTTATCTTATTTCGAAAAAAAAAAAAAAAACTTAAGAAAAAATAATTTTAGATGAAATAATTTCTGAAAAAAATAAGTTTCATATATGTTCAAATAAAACAATTTTAGAAAAATAAGTTCAGACCAAATAATTTGTTGGATGTATCACTACAAGAACTAGCTTGTCCACTTACTGCTACTATGACTAATATGAAAATTATATGGTAGTCATCCTGCTTAAAATGACTAAGGATGACTACCATTATACTAATTTTTTATTGGTTTTTTTTTTATTTATTTTTTATGTCAAAATTAGTTAATAATGTTTTTTTGATTATTTTTATATTTATTATATTATATTTTTATAATTAATTTATGAATTATTTTTAATTTCAATAATAATACAAATTAAATTTTGTAAATTAATTAGGGAAATTATGAAAAAAAAAAATTTCAAAATTAATAAATGAATTATGAAAATTTGATAAATGATTTATAATCAATTTTGACATTAAAAACAAATCAAAATCAGTCAATAAAAACTTAGTATAATGGTAGTCATTTTAAGGATGATTACCATAGAATCATCCTAGCTGATAATGAAAATAACAATAACTTGCTAATAGTCTAATACATTGATTATTAGATACAATATTTTAAATGCATAACGTACGCTAATCACAAAGGGTGGTCATGATTAGTCTCTCCAAACATGATTGAATTTCCCTAACCAAAAAAAAGAAAAGAACTAAAAATTAAAAAACCAAACAAAAATATGGTTGAGTTGTAATTTTTTGCAACGAAAAAGTGTGGTCATGCTTATTAAACTAAACAAATGGATGACAAAGCAATGGATTATGATAAAAATGAACAATGATACCATTAGCACAAAAAATACTTACTATAACTTTTTAATGGAGTATTATCCTTAAGATTTCTTATAACAATTTTTGTTAGATGAGCGAATCAATCTAATATCATATCACTATCACTAATAAATAAAGTCGATTTCGCAGTCAGGTCACAAGATATCGACACTTGGCATTTCAGTTTTTTGTCAAGTGTTGAGCCATGTAGCCGACAAATAGGTATTATTGTGACACATAGGATGCTAAGTAAGCAAATTTTTGATAGATTTTTTAAGATAAAAATGTTGCTTAGTGTTTAATTATCAATGTACTTATACTATTTCATATATACAAAATTAATTATAACTTTTAATAAATATCATAATTCATTACTATTTCAATCATAAAATTCGTTTTAAAAAGTTTTTTTAAAATGAGATCCATTTATAATATATTTTAATAAAAAATAAAAAATCAAAAAAATTAATTTTACTTTGGTAAAAATACTTATAGTTCATTTGAAATAATTTAAGTGCAATAAAAAAAATATCAAGTTAATAATAACATAGATATCTATTTACAAATAAAACTACAAATGTACACTATTTTATAAATAAGTGATATGATATCGTATGTCTAAATATTTTACACTATCTAAAGGGGTTAAATGATCGTATTTAACATTCAAGCCAAAAACTTTAGGACAATCCGAGTATCGCCCGGGCACAAAACTAGTATATATATAAAGGAGAGTTTTTTCCCAAGATTTTAGAGCCACCTAGGATTTTTATTTTTAAAAAATTATTAGAGCGCCATGTAGGATTAGTATTTTTAAAGCGTTACTTATAAGATTATGCCACGTAAGATTGTTATTTTAAAGCGCCACGTAAGATTAAAATTAAAAATTTAAATTTATTATAAAAATAAAATACTATCTTTATAAATTGGAAATTTTATCTAAGAGAAAAGAAACAATTTATTATATTTCGTACATATAAAAAAAATACTATTAAACTTAAAAAAATGAAATTCACGTTCAATTGATATTTAAAAAAATTGGATTAGATAAAAAAAAATAATGAAAATATGACAAGTGATTATAATAAAATATTTTATAAAAATATACTAATAAAAAAAATGAAATCATGTTAAATTATAAAGGGGAGTTTTCCCAAGATTTTAGAGAGCCACCTAGAATTTTTTTTAGAGCGTTACATATAGGATTATGCCACGTAGGATTGTTATTTTAAACCACCACGTAAGATTAAAATTAAAAATAGGAATTTATTATAAAAATAAAATACTATCTTCTTTTTAAATTGGAAATTTTATCTAAGAGAAAAGAACAATTTATTTTATTTCGTATATATTAAAAAATACTATTAAACTTAAAAAAAAATATTCACGTTCAATTGATATTTCAAAAAAAATTAAAATATGACAAGTGATTATAATAAAATATTGTATAAAAATATACTGAAAAAAAAAATGAAATCACATTTAATTAAAAAAAAATTAGTTTTCACTCAAAAAAAAAATTAAATTAAATACAAAATATAAGAAAAAATCATTGAAATTAAAAATATATCTTTTCTCTTTTTCCAACAAAAAAAAAATTTAAATCATTTATCATTTATTCATCTTAAAGATTAAGTTCTACATTAACAAAATAAAATTGGCGAATGAAATTTTAAAGTTTAAATTAATAAATATAAAATATTATCTTTTGATATTAGGAATTTAATCTAAATATATAACGAATGAGAGAAAATTCACAATTTATTTTCAAATAAATAAAATAAAATTATTAAATGATAATATGGTATACTATGTACAACGAATAACTAAAGTAACAAATTTTATCACAAACATAGGAAAAAAAATAAGTTGTAAAAAAACAAAAACAAACCGTGCATCGCACGGGATTCATCTAGTTTTTACAATAGTAAAGTTATTTTAAAAAAAGTTATTAAACTATCCTTCGTGTTATCACGACCTATTTTATTAAATTTATATTGAAACTTTTATTGAAAAAAATAATTATTTTATACAATTTCTAAAAATATTAAATAAAATAAAATAATTTTGGATAAGTTAAAGTCAAATAAGTTCTGATAAAATTAAATAATACTTGTATGAAATAAGTTCAAATAAAGTAATTTGAGATAAAATAGTTTCAGACAAATTTAGATGAACCACACGTTTAAATAGACCCTTAGACTTGATTTAATTATTTTGATGAAAAATGTTGATTAGCTTAAGAAAATATAACATTTTGCATTTTATTTTGTGGCTGTGCTAGCTACTAATCAATTTGAGCACACAAAATCTTTTATTCCCTCCGTTTGATAATCCTCTTTTTTTTAAGACCCCTCCGTTGATAAATAAGTGCATTAATTGACTTATTTAGCCATTTTAGACAAGTGCATCACTTTTTTAATTGATAATATTCATCTATATTATATATATATAATTTTTTCAATCAGATATTTTTTTTTTAAACTCTCGATCTTTCCCACACTCCCTTTACGTATGTATAAAATATACTTCCATACTTTTTTTTCTTTTTTTTAAAAAAATACAAAGTATTAAATTTTTAACTTTACACATTTGCACACTTAAAAATTCACTTTAATATACTTATTATTTTAAAAAAATAAAATAAAATAAAAATTCACTTAAATATACTTGTCTAAACTTTGAGCATATAAAAGTGTATGCACTTAACCAAAGATTTAAACAACTTCTCTATTGCTTGTAATGAATAACTGAATCATTTCTTTCGAAAGTAAAAAAAAAAAAAGAAAAAAAAAAATAATAAAAAAAAAAAATTGAATTATTTCTCTTTTGAATGTCAACTTTCACAACTTTAATGTAAATTTTCACCAAAAGTATATAAAAGAAAGTATAATTGAATGAGATCTTGTTGAAATTGTTAATACATCGTATTTTTAATATGTGACTTTTTTATAATTTGTAACAATGTACAATTAAACTATTCATTTTTTTTAATACAATTAAACTATTCATAATCAAACTAATTCATTGAGAACCATGAATTGACAAAAAGCAAATAGTACAAAGGGAGTAGAACGGGAAACCTTTCTAATTTTACGTGCCATTGCGCAAAGTTTTAGTTATTTTTGTGTTTTTTGAAACTATGAAAATATTTAAAACTTCAAAAAACTTTTTGGCCTTTTGGACTAATGGTTTCATTATCTTAAAAGTCTTCTAGATTATAGCATCAGTTGGTCGTCACTTTTTTAAAATTGGTAAATAGTAGGTAGAGATATCTCATATGGAGAAACGATTGGGGGATTTTTTTTTTTTTTTTTTTTTGACAAACGCAAAAGCAAACGATTGGGGGATTGATGAGATAAAATATATTCTAAATTTCTTAAAACTTTCTTCAATCTTAAATGATTTAATCATTTTGATTTATTTATTTTAATTGTGCATATTTACCAATTCTTTATTTTGAATTTAAATATTTTCGAATTTCATATTAATAAAAAATTATAATAATTTAATATTTATAAGCTATTGATTGAAACAAATTAAATAAACCCAATATGATTATGTTTTACCACACATTTATTTATTGAGTGTAATTTAAAAAATTTCTCATCTTATAAATAGTGTCAATATTATTTCAATAGGAACGAACAAAAAGAATGAGAGAGAGTAGAATATTTATTTTAATTTTTTTGTTGGAGTCTTCAATAAAATTGAATTCATGTATGTGTTGTAAAAATAAAATGATGAGACAACAAATAACATATAATTCTAATTTTAATTACTTAAAACTTCAACGATTTTTCGACATAGGTTTTAATTAATTATTTATTTTGGGGATAAAAGTTAAGAAATGAAATTGTTAACTTATATACTTCATCCATATAAAAAAAGTTACCTCATTATTATTTTATCTAAATTTATTTTATTTTGGATATTGCTAACGAACGCCTTGTGGCGTTGGATAAACATTTAAAATATTTTCTAAAATGGTATTAATTTGGAAGTGCATGTCAAAATCATGCGCTGATCGGTGTAATTAATGCTTATTTTAATTTTGATAATATACTTTTATTTATTTTATCCAACGCCCTCGGAAGTTCTTTAGCTTTTGTCTTTTATATTATATAATAACATATTTTATTTTATTTGACCTAACTTCTTTCTTTTATCTGTAGTTATTTTATTTTATTTATTTGAATTAATCAAAACTTATATTTCTTTGAATTTGTGAACTTATTTTGTCTAAAATTATTGTATCTAAACATATTTTGTCAGAAATTATACTATCTGAATTTATTTTATTCGAGTTTGTATTATCTTCTTCTGCTAAAATGCCTTAATCTCATATGTGGGATCGACTACATGAACCGATATGAGGACTTCCTAGGAAGTAATCTATCCTAATACTACTCTCAATCATTATGACTAATGTCAAACGATGTGACAAAGTTTTACACTAGCTGTCACTGGCCTACTGTAACCCTCAACTAAAGGAGTTATTTGAGCTTATATTATCTAAACTTAATTTCTAAAAGCTTTTTTTAATCTGAAATTATCTTAACATTTTGAGAAATAAGATAATTTAAGATGAAATAAACAGACTCTTAATTCACAAGCGTGTCACTATCTCTCAGATTCTCACTATTTGTTCTCTACTCCAAATACATAAAGATAACACTACCTAACTACGGAGTACTAATTACTCTTAATAATTTGTAGGTAGGCTGTTTTTAAGGGCCCAAATTTGGGTTGGCCCGACCTTAATCAACATTATGGTTTAATAATTGTCTGTTTGGTATCATTGTGGTTTTCTATATTTTGGTTTTTTGTTTTTCAAAATCATATGATATACGCCATATAATGAAACAACACAACAAGTTAAACTTTCATACATGGCTGACTACACCGTGTGGCCAACCATCATGAGGGTTAATTCGTTTGTGTTATAGGGTTACTCGGTTAGTGTTACAGGGGTTACTTTGCTAGTGTCATAGGGGTTACTCGGTCACTGTTATAGAGATTACTCGAGTCACTATTACAGGGGTTACCCGGTCAGTGTTATAGGGGTTACTTTGTTTCTTTTGCAAGTGGCCACATGGTGTGGCTAGCCGCACACAAAATGCGTTGAACAAAAATTGGTCTAACTTACTAAAATCATGATAATTTTGAAAATTAATACTAATACTGTTTCGGGGTTTTCTGATGTCCTGCGGGAGAGTTACAATTCCGAGACTGGAACCGGACGCCTGTACCTGCAAAACAAACGGATGCTCCGGATGATTGGAGATCCGCCTCCGACGGTCAAGTTAGTACTTGATTAAGGAGTAATTAATGCGGAAATTAAAGTGATTGGGTCTCTCTAGGTGAGAGTGTTTAATGTGTGTAATCTGCGTAATCTCCCTTAATGAGGTTTAAGGGAGGTATTTATAACCTCGGGAAACGTGCCAATCTAGGTTTAGGTTAACCTTGGGCTGATTGGGCTTCCCTCGAAAGTTGGGCCTAGGTGACCGGCTTCTCCATTAGGCATGGAGTATGCCACGTGTCATGACATAATAAGTCCAGGGTGGACGAATAAGCGTGTGTCACGTGGCAAGCCCTGAGAGGTCCAAGTGGGGGACACATGGCAGGACCTGATTGGCCCACGTGGCGCATTTCGATTGGTGGGAGCACAATCCCCTAATCAAACACCTTTTTGTTTCCTTTTTTCGTTTCTGTGCTAAGAAAAACAGATAACTTAAAAAAAAAAAAACAGTACTAAACAAGCCCTAAGTTTTATAAAAATATTGTCTAGAAAAGACCTTTTCATGTTGCCCAATATTGCGGGTTTGGATACAAATTTTTGGTCTGAGCTTGGCTTTGGACTAAACGGACCACCCTTTCTGACAAAGACCCATGATCAAGTGTATAATCAATATTCAATAGTGATAAGATGTTAGAATTTCAGAAATTACTGAACAAACTTAAATGTATAATTCATTTGCCTTTATAGATGACATGTTTCTTTGAGCATCTTTGAGTACGTATGCTGATGCATTAGTTTAATCAATTGATTATCAAATTTATAATAACTCAAAAACGTTAATGTTTGAAAATTAATATAAAATGAGATAAATTGTAAATGATTTTACATGATTTTTCAAAAAAAAAAAAAAAAAAAAAACCACAAAAGCTAAATCAAAATATAATAGACTACGCGTATGTAATAGGGTTATAATCAAAACATACTAGGTATATTTAGAAAACAAAGCAAGTATAAATTTAAGCAAAAATTCAATATTTATTTTATTACATTTTGTTATATTTTTATTCATTATTGTTATACTAACCAGTGTACATTTTATGAAGAACCATGCAAGGGCTGATTGAGAAGTACATGAAGTGCACAAGTGGTTTTCTCCCAGCTGAATGTGACAGTGTCACACAGAAGCACTTACTGGTATTGCACTTCTCCCATTTACATAATTTTAATCCATATCTTATTATCTTTTAATGTTTTTTTTTAATTTTATTTTTTTTATATTTTATTTTATTTTATTTATACATGAACGTATTTTTTATTTTCTTTCAAAATATAATTCTTACCTCTCAAACAAAGTAAGTGCTTTTGGAAAAATGTTGGTCCATCAAAGATTCAAAGGTATTTTGGAAATCTACATTTCAATTAATTTTTTTTTACCATAAGCTACCTTGCATGATTTTTCTAATTCTTTAGCATTACTACAAAATTCAAATGTAATCTATAGATCTTATTACAAAATTAAAGATTTTAATAAAAATATGTCTTGGTGATAATGAATTTACAAATATATAAACTAATTCAAGAATGATTGCGTATAATAGTATCATGCATGCACATAGTAAGTTGATTGAGTTGGCAATGAAATTCGATGAGTCGAGCATTTGGTTTGATTTACATTCGATTGCATGAGTTCCAAAAAAAGTTATAATGTGTGTTTTATTGATATGTAATAACCTTGTTTCTAATTAATTTCCTACATAATTTAATTTAAAACCATTGTAATGCCATAACTATTTACTTGTTTCGTTTTACAAAGCTACACTCGTAATGATAGAGAATATACACATAATTTGCGTAGAACTGTAGAAGATTTACTTGGTTATTAATTGTGTAGCTTTTTTTTGGAATAGAAATCCAAGGATGAAGTCAACATGATGACACATGAGATCAAATTACTTGAGAAAGGGCTCTGGTACGGTATACGAACCATCACCGTACTAATTATCTTAATTATTCGTTTATTATTGGTTGAATTGTCTAAAAGAAGAAGCTAAAACCCCTTTATTTTTTTCTTTTTAAAATCACCATTTTTTTCCTTTTAATTGCATGTTATGAATGATAAAATGCTCACGGCCTCACATGCTTTATGATCACCAAGAATTTACTTAAGGTAATAGGATTTTGTGATTTTCGTTCGGTCTTACGACTTATGAGCGACAGATGCATATAGTAGGCATAGATCCTATTCTGTTCGAGTTTTTTTTTAGTTTTGCGTGGTCACAAGTTTAGTAAATTTAAAATAAATAAAGTTCAAATTAAACAATATTGGTCAGATACTCTTACAAAATAATGCTATAATCATGCCTTACACACATTTTTATATGGGGCTGGTCAAACCGTGTGACTGGGGTTACTTATAGGAGTTACTTATTCAGGGGTTACTTGGTCAGTTAGGGGGTTACTTATAGGAGTTACTTATTCAGGGGTTACTTGGTCAGTTAGGGGGTTACTTATAGGGGTTACTTATTCAAAGATTATTTATTCAGCGGTTACTCTATCGGTCAGGGGATTATTTATTTAGGGGTTACTTATTCAGGGTTACTCGGTCGGTCAGGGGTTACTTGATCAGGGGTTACTTATTCAAAGGTTACTTATTCATGGGTTACTCAGTTGGTCAGGGGTTAATCTCACATAGAAAACGCGCTAAGCGACTGAGTAAATCTAGAATAAGTAACCCCTGACTGACTGAGTAACCCGTAAATAAGTAACTCCAGAATAAGTAACCCCGCGGCGAAAACACGCTAACCGACTGAGTAATCCTAGAATAAGTCACACTTGACAGACTGAGTAACCCCCTATATAAGTAACCCCCAAATAAATAAGCCTTATAAATAACCCCAACTATACGGTGTGACCAACCTCACAGAAAAAGCACTGCACGCCTTATTATGGTACAAAATTGGTTAGAAGGTTAGCCTTCCTTTTCCAATTAATCATTTTGATTATCCGAGTAAATAGTCTAAATATCACTTTTGGCACTTATTCGTTTTGGTTTTTTGAAAATTAAATAAAAAAGACTCAAAGTACTAGAATAGTGACTGAAGCACAAAAAAACAACTCATACTGTTGTAACGAATACATAATCAAATAGAGTAACTTATATATCATATCATATCACTAATAAATAAAGCCATATCACTAATAAATAAAGCCGGTCTTGCAGTCAGACCACAAGACAACGATACTTGGCATTCCAATTTTTTCGCCAAGTGTCGTGCCACGTAGGAGATAAATAGGTATTATTGTGACACATATAATACTAAGTAAGCGATTTTTGGATAGATTTTTTAAGATAAAATTGTTAATAGAGTTTTATTATCGATAAAATTTTAATATTTCCTACATACATATAAAATTAATCATAACTTTTAATAAATATCCTATAACTCAATTCTATTTTCATCATCAAATTCGTTTTAAAAAGTTCATTAAAATAAGATCCATTTATAATATATTTAATCAAAAACTTTTATACGTAGCTAGCCAAACCGTGTCACCAACTATTACAATATCAGAGTTACTTCTTTAGTGCTGTAGAGGTTACTTAGTCAGAGTTATAGTGGTTACTCAATCATGTTATAGATAGAGGTTACTCAATTAGTATGACAGAGGTTAATCGATCAGTTTTATAGGGGTTACTTTGTCCAGCCAGATGGTGTGGTTAGCCGTATTCAAAATACATTGTTATTTAATTTATTTAAAAAATATTAGAGAATCAGTAAAATAAATTTTAATCGGTAAAAAAAAATTTTGGTTTGATAAAAATATTTTCAGTTCAGTAAAAATAATTTAAATCCAATAACAATAATTTCAAATCCATAATAACATATAATCTATTTACAAACAAAACTACAAAAAGTACATTATTATATAAATAAGTGATATGATACGTATGTCAAAATATCTTGTATTATCAAAAGAGATTACATGATCGTATTATTGAACATTCAAGCCAAAAAGTTTATCCTAAAATTTTATCAACAATCCGGGCATCAACATAGATATCTATTTACAAACAAAACTACAAAAATTACACTATTATATGATATTGTAAGTCTAAATATCCTGCATTATAAAAAAGGATTAGATGACCATATTTCACATTCAAGTAAAAAGTTTGTCCTAAAATTTTATCATCAATACAATTTGGGCATCGCCTTGGCACAATATCACTAATAAATAAAGCCGGTCTCGCAGCCAGGCCACGAGATAGCGACACTTGACATTCTACTTTTTCGCCAAGCGTCGCGCCACATAGGCGAAAATTAGATATTGTTGTGACACGTATGCTACTAAGTAAGTGAATTTTGGATAGTTTTTTTAAAGATAAAAATTTTGTATAGCGTTTTATTATCTATACTTCTAATATTTCATATATACAAAATTAATCATAACTTTTAATAAATATCCTATAACTCGGTTCTATTCCATCATAAAATTTGTTTTAAGAAAAATCTTTAAAATAAGATTCATTTATAATATATTTAATTTATTTAAAAAAATAATAGAGAATTAGTAAAAAAAAAACAATTTAAGTTCAATAAAAATAATTTCAAGTCAATAATAACATAGATATTTATTCACAAATAAAACTACAAAAAATACACTATTATTTAATTAAATAAGCGATATGATATCGTATGTCTAAATATCCTACATTATCAAAAGGGATTGTTAGGATGGTATTTAACATTCAAGCAAAAAAGTTTATACTCAAATTTTATCAACAATCTAGGCATCGCCCGGGCACAAAACTAGTATATATATATATAGTTAAGTTTAGGTCCAATTATAACAAATATCATGGAGTGAGTAGTATACGAAATATAATTTTGTGATTTTCATGTTTGGTCTATAACTTAATATCAACATGGTTTAAATGGGACATGTGGTATAAAACTTCATCAGATTAAGCCAAGTCAATATAAAAGGAGAGTTTGACCACATAATACTTCGTATGTGTTATTCCTTTTTACATCATACACTACGCATTCAAACATATACACTACTTATATTTCTATGTGTTTTTATTAATCATGTACGAAGTTTTAGTACATCAATAATACACAATCCATCAATTGACTACATACATATGCAATCTATGAGATTAATTTGCTACAAAAATGGGGAAAAAATTGAGCTGGTAATAGGTCCATATTTGGAGGGGCAGAAGGAGCGATGACCTTGGATGAACTGCATGCACTGGAAAAGCATCTCGAGTCATGGATTTACCAAATTCGTGCTACCAAGGTGCTTTTTAATTCTACTCTACTATGTATTTCCTTTTATCTTTTCTATTTTCTGCCCACCAACAAAATATATATATATATATATATTAATTCAATATTTTCTTTGTCCCACAAATATTATTTTATAACCCGTATTCACATTATTAAGGGGAAGTTATAAAATTGAAATTAAAATCAATAGTCACGTAGCTTCGGGGCCTCTAGTGTATATTTCATTCATGTTGCCCTACTACATTATGTTATTGTTTGCACCAAGTCGAGGTTTTGTTGCCTCAGCTCGTGCACCTACACCCATAGTTTGTGCCATTGTGGTCAATTACCTCAAAAATATTCTTATGGTTCTTATGTTGTAATGAAAAAAGGTACGTAGTATCTATAATTTGAATACAACTAATTTACCCATTGTTTGGGTCCAATTTAGTCCAATTGGGCCTGGTCACTGAATGATCCAATTAAAAGCCCAAGGTTAAGGTTCAACTCTCCAAATGTGCTAAAGTCAAAAATCAAACATCCTCAAAGCCATGTCAAGGTCAGTCAACGGCCCAATCAGCTTGGCCCAGCCCAACTGACTTCCGGGCCCAATCCGCCTCCTTCATTAGCCAAGGTATAAAAGCCAACAATTTGGTCAATTCTTGGTAAGACAATAAAGCCTCAAGCAACTAAACTCTTGCACAGCTTTCTCTCTCTAATATACTGACTTAAGCATCGGAGGGGCCTTCCTCGGCGTCCCCCCCGAGGCTAGTTTACGTGTATTTGTTGTGCAGGAAACCCTCGGCTCCTGCGTTGTTCGGACCGAGACCAAGTTCCCTCAAGATAAAAGGATCTTCCGAGATTCGATTGTTTTCATCCGAAACAATTTGGCGCCGTCTGTGGGGAACGCTACTAAATTTCGCGTCAGTCATCAAACACTCCGGCAGTCGCCATGACTAAGAGTGGAAAGAGTTCCAAGAAGGCTAAGAAGGGAGGAGGCCAGATTACGGTGAGGGAACGCCAGCCGGTTTATCCCTCCCCGGAGCAAGCCTCTTCCGAATCGGAGGCCCCCATTTCTCCGGAAAGGGAAGCCTCAAGAGGTCCTAGCCTCCAGGAGGAGAACACCTCGCACCACACTCGGCAGCCGGGGCCATCCCCGAGACCGAGTGGCTCAGGTGCGAGGAACTCCCCGCCGCGCCATAGCGTGCAATCCAGGTCACATCCGCGGGAGACTCCTCCCTCCGGACCCTCCACCGAGGAAGTGGCCAGAGCAGTGGCCATCTGCATGGAGTTCCTTAAAGCTCAAGGGGCTCCAATCCAGATGCCTGATGATCACCAGCCGAGAAACCAGAAAAGGAGGATCGGTCAGGATGATGGTGGACAAGTTCCACCACATAGAGAGCTCGGCCAGAGGTGGCGAGGGGACACCCGAAACTCCAGTAAGGAGAGGAGGAGGAACCCTCAACCCTCTGACCACTCTGAAGCTCAGAATTCCATGGGGCCCTCCAAGGACCCGGAATTCGCCCGCCAAAGCGTTCACGAACGCTTGGGTTCGAGGGAGGTGAGTGTGCATAGCCGCCTCACCTTCCCAGAGGATACCGGACCCCACCCAACCTTGTCTCAGCCGGGGACGAAAACCACTTCCACCTCTGAGAGAGGAGGGAGCGAGGTCCCTGAGGCCGGGTACAAGGGGAAGGCGGTCATGGTTCCATCGAACTCGCCCTTCCAGAAGTGGATTCTGGAAGAGCATGTGCCAACGGTCAAAATCCCGGCACATATTACTTACGATGGTACCTCAGATCCTAAGGATCACATTGCCTCTTACGAGGGGCACATGTATCTGAACCCGAGGTCTGAGGCTACCTGGTGTAAATACTTTCCTACGACCCTCAAAGGTGTTGCCCAATCCTGGATCACCAAAGGGCTCAAGGAAGGCTCCATAACCGGTTGGAACGACCTCTCCAACAAGTTCAAGAGCAAATTCTCTACGGCCAACCGCCGAGAGAAGACCACTGCAGAGCTAATGAGTCTGCAGCAGGCGGAGGACGAGAGCCTCCGCGACTATCTGACTCGCTTCAGCAACGAGTCATCCGGAATCACAAGCCTGGATCAAGGCCTGGCCGTGTTCGCGCTACGGAACGGCCTCCAAGCTGGAAAGTTCCTGGACTTCATGGTCATGCATCCCCCGCAGACCCTGGAGGAAGCCTTGGAAGCATCGGATAGGTTCATCCGAGCCGAGGAGTGGAACAGATCCAGGTCTCAGTCTCGTCCGAGAATTGAGAAGCCGAAAGGGCAGCAGCCCGAAGTCTCGGCGCAGAGGAAAGGGAAGGCTAAGGCCTCAGAACCGTCCTCTGCTGCCGAGCCGAAGAAGGAAAGACACTTTCCCTACACGGGAAGGTACGATTCATACACTCCACTCTCCCTTCCCCGTGCTAAGATTTTCAGCACGACGAAGGACGAGGGGAGATTCAAAAAACCTCGTCCGTTGCCTCCCTGGCATCAGACGAGGGGAAAGGACCAGTGGTGCGAGTTCCATGACTCACCCGGACATCGCACCGAGGACTGCGTCCAGCTGAAGGACCAGATTGAGGATCTGGTCCGCAAGGGGTACCTGAGCCAATACCTCGCGGACAGGCGCGAGGAGAAAAAAGCTGAAAAAGATTCTCGGCAGGACCTCAACTTCGCTCGGAAGAAGGATAAGGGACCTCAGGGCAAGGAGTCCCTCGACATCCTGGTTATTTCCGGGGGAATCTCGCGAGGCACAGCCAAACGCCAACTGAGGGGTCTAACCCATCAGATTCATCAGGCTGAGCTTCGGCAGTCCCAGTCACCGGCGCCGAACATCCTGTTCACAGCCGAAGACTGCGAGGGGGTGGTATACCCCCACGATGACCCACTAGTAATCATTCTGGGCATCGCCAACCGCAACGTCTGGCGGACCCTCGTCGACGGCGGTAGCGGGGCGAACATCCTCTTCCGAGGAGCGTTCGACCAGCTGAGGATGGGAGCCGAGCACCTGGCCCCCGCACCCTACCCGGTGTCTGGATTCAACGGCTCTTCCTCGTATCCTGACGGGAAGATTACACTTCCTGTCACCATCGGCGAAGGCCGAGCAGCTAGGAATATCATGGCCGAATTTTTGGTCGTAGATGCTCCATCTGCATACAACGTGATCATGGGGAGACCCCTCATTCACGGCATTCAAGGAGTCGTCTCCACGTATCATCAAATCATGATATACGTTTCAGACGAGGGACGCTCCGAGAAAATAAAGGGCAGTCAAAAAGAAGCCCGCCGATGCAATCACCTCAAGCCATCCACGTCTCGCCGAGGCGACCGTGGCGATGGGGAGGAAAAGCACCGGGACCGAAACGCCAAAAAGCCGAGAGGCTCAGACGTTTCGGCTAATGAAGCCCCAGACAACGAGAAATCTGATGGGGGCCAAAAGGCTGACTCCGCCTCAGAGCCGAACGACTCTGATGGCCAGCCGCGGTCAGGAAAGTCTGCTAATATTGATAGCAGGCCGGAATTCGAGGAATCCAACTCTAAGAGCATGGAGACGGATGACCTGACCGAGTCAATAGAACTGACCGTAGGAGATCCGAACAGATGTGTTAGCATCGGGTCGTCACTGGAGCCAAACACCCGTGCGGCACTCGTCCAACTCCTACGGGCCAGTGGAGACGTGTTCGCCTTCTCGGCCGCAGAAATGCCCGGGATTGATCCGGACTTCGTCTCCCATAGGCTTAATGTCGACCCCTCCAGTCGACCCATTAAGCAGAAAAAGCGGAACTACTCCGCCGAAAAGAACCAGAACATCGCAGCTGAGGTCGATAAGCTCCTAGATGCTGGGTTCATTGAACCCTGTCAGTATCCGGAGTGGCTGGCCAATGTTGTAATGGTTCAGAAGGCAAATGGTAACTGGAGGATGTGCGTTGACTTCACGGACCTGAATAGGGCATGTCCCAAGGACTCCTATCCGCTGCCGAGGATCGACCAACTGGTCGACTCGACAAGCGGGCATGCTCTGCTCAGTTTCATGGACGCATTCTCGGGATACCATCAGATCTTCATGCACCCCGAGGACCGAGCTAAAACAGCGTTCATAACAAGTTCCGGGTTGTACAATTACAGAATGATGCCCTTCGGATTGAAAAATGCGGGGGCAACATATCAGAGGTTGGTTGATCAGGTTTTCGCCGAGCAAAAAGGCCGAAACATGGAAGTTTATGTTGACGACTCAATCGTCAAAAGCATAAAAGAAAAAGATCATGTCACGGACCTAGCCGAAACCTTCGCCACCCTCAGAAAATACAAAATGAAGCTGAATCCGAAGAAATGTGTCTTCGGCGTGAAGTCAGGCAAGTTCCTCGGCTTCATGGTCAGCAAGAGGGGGATTGATGCAAACCCCGCCAAAGTACAAGCTGCTTTAGACCTCCCCGAGCCGAAGACAAAAAGGGATATTCAGCGTCTAGCCGGGAGAATGGCTGCCTTGTCCAGGTTCATCTCACGAGCCTCAGACAAAGGGCTCCCTTTCTTCAAGGCGCTGAAGCTCCAAAATTCAAAAGGCATTGAATGGGGAGACGAACAAAAGTCAGCCTTTCAGCAGCTCCGTGAACACCTGGCTCAACTCCCAACACTGGCAAGGCCAGTCGTAGGAGACATCCTATACTTATACGTGGCGGTCAGTCCAGCCACGGTAAGCGCGGTGCTGCTAAGGGAAGAAGAAAAAGTTCAACAGCCGATCTATTTCGTCAGCCACACCCTGACGGATGCCGAGACGCGCTACCCATTGTTAGAAAAAGTGGCTTATGCAGTGGTGGTGGCTGCTCGGAAGTTGCGACCCTATTTTGATTCTCATCAAATAGCGGTTCTAACTGATCAGCCGTTAGAGAAAGTCCTCGGCAAGGTTGAAAAATCCGGTAGACTAGCAAAGTGGGCTTTCGAGCTCACCGAGTTCAGTATCGGTTATCAGCCGAGAACAGCCATCAAGGCGCAAGCCTTGGCAGACTTCTTGGCCGAGTGCTCCTA